TAAAGTATATGTAATACTTTATCTTATAAATTATATATACAACGAATTCTGAAAATATTAGTCAACAATATTAATCTCTTAGTGCAATGGAGTGTACAATATCTTTTGTCATCCCGTCTTTAGCAAACACAAATAAATTGGATTGTTTCCCCACTCGAGAGCATGCCACGTATAATTGTCGGCGTGAAAAACATGGTGTGCTCAAATCTAAGACACAAACAGACATTGTTTGGCCTTGTCATTGCAAATACCAATCTAATGTGGAACTGAATGCGTTTAAATTGAATTGGCGCATCTGTGGGTATAATAGGGATTCGTGGAAGTAATATACTTTCATCCCGGAATTTGTCATTTAAAATAATTACGTTGTTCATTAATTTTTTAACGACTATTCGCGCGCCGGTGGGTTCAAATTACGAAGCAAAATAACCGGAGTACTAAATTATGCGGTGATATGCCAGGTAAATCCAATGAGTTTAAAAACTCTGTTGGAAAATTTGCAGCTTCAATGGGATCGCAAACTTCATCAACGGATTTATATGTCACCAAGTTACCTGGCAATAACTGTTGCATCTCCAGATTCAATTCGTTGACGTCCACATTTTTTGCTGCTAAGATCGCCCTTTCTGCCAGCCACTCATGATGAATGTATTGCGTGTGTTACATCGGAAAATATTAGGCTAATGAGAGCATCTTGTGAATCAATGATTGTNAACTGCATCAACGGATTTGCATGTCACCAAGTTACCTGGCAATAACTGTTGCATCTACAGATTCAATTCGTTGACGTCCACATTTTTTGCTGCTAAAATCACCCTTTCTGCCAGCCACTCATGATGAATGCATTGCGTGTGTACATCGGGAAATATTAGGCTAATGAGAGCATCTTGTGAATCAATGATTGTGCAGAAATCGNTTTTATGCATCCTTTTTATGCGTCCAGTCTCATCCTTAGTAACTTTTCCATCACGGATATCTAACAGTTGTTTTGAGAATGTTTCAGCAGATGGATCTTGAAGCATTTGGACGCGCATATTTACTTTTAGTAGAACTTTTTCAACATTACGCCACAGTGGAGATGATTTCAAGCAAGCATTGATCTCATCAGCATACATTAAATGCGGAATGACAGGAAGTGTTTGTCTGAAATCACCTGAAAGGAGTAACAGAGTGCCGCCAAATAATTTGTCATTGTTTTTTTATATCTTCCTGTCCTTTCAATGTCCTGTTCAACGCCTCAAGCGAATGTTTGTGTGCCATAGTGCATTGAATGGCCATGTTTGTGTGCCATAGTGCATACAATGAAGGCATGGCCTATTTTGAAGACCCAATCGAAATTTCGAATAGATTCCTGTTCGAAGATTTTAGACTATTCCAGAAATCAAAGCTTCTCGAATTCATGCGCTCTAACTAAATCTATATAAGCGGGAAACAGACAATATGCATGTAGTTAGCTCCAAGTCGTTTTATCTGTAGCTCTGAGTAAGATTCTTGGATAGCGATCATCTGCATTTTGCTGTTGTGGAATCTTAAATTTGTTATTAAGTCAATTGAATTCATGATGAAGAGACAAGCTTCTATTGTAAATAAGTCTGTTAACGACAGTACTGAAGTTGGCTGTGCTACTAAGAATGTTTCTTCTGGTGTCGAAGGTATTGGTACGGTTGATCCACATCCAGCCCCAATTACAGAGGATTTCAACCCGGTAAGAAGAAATATCTGTGATATTGGAAACTATTGTCAAAACGATTCCGTTCGTTCGTTAACAAATGGATAAAAAATTTCGCTTGTGGAAAATGTTTGAAAACCACAACCTGCATACAAATTTCCTTCTAATTCCAGTTGTTCTACTTCAACCCATACTAGAACTTTTCAAATGAAATGGTTAGAAGAATTTGAGTGGTTAGCTTATTCTGAGAAAAATCCGGATCTTTTTGTAAATATTGCGTAATATTTTCACCTTCGAATAGTGTAGGGAAAGGAGATCATCAAGTAACACGGGCATTTAATAATTTGAAAAAAGCCAAGGAAATATTTCGTAAACATGAAAATTGCACTTATCATAAAACATCAGTTTTGATTGCTGAAGGCACAAAATCCATTGTAAAAAAAAAGCTGACAGTGTTATCAATCAAGTCAATGCTCAAAGAAAATTGGATATTGAAGAAAAAAAACAGAAAAAGATTGATTCCTATAATGCAAACTATAAGATTTTGCGGAAGGCAACAAATAGCAGTGAGAGGCCATCGTGATGGTGGACGAATAGGCCTAGAAGAACCCGAAAAAAACGACAGAAATTTTCGATCATTGCTGAGATACCGAGCTAACAGTGGAGATAAAGATCTTAAAGTCCAATTAATGAACAGTGGTGGGAAGAGTATGTACACCAGTTCTTTTACCTTGATGATTTTTGTAACTCCCTGAAGGAACGCTATCAATCTCACAAGGAAACAGTTGCATCCTTACAACACATACTTCCAGAATTTTGTATAAAAACAGATTTCTGTTCTCTGGAAGCTGCTTTCAATTTCTACGAAGACGATTTGTCACATAAAGAGATCGTGAAAAGTGAATTTATGTTATGGAAGGAAAAGTGGAGTCAGAATAAATCTGAAGATCTTCCCAAAACAGCAATTAGTTGTTTAGAAAAATGTGACAAGACTTTCTTCCCTAACATTTATATTCTTTTAAAATTACTAGCAGTTCTGTTGCGACTGTGGCAAGCTTCTCAAGTTTAAGAAGACTGAAGTCTTACTTAAGAAAGACCACTTCGGAAAATAGACTTGCTTGCATTGCTTTCCATCCATAGAGACGTTAAAATAAGCGATGAAGAAGTTCTGGATAAGTTTGCAAGTGTACCAAGAAAACTGAGCTTTGTTTTGTAAATTTTACTTAAAAAGACAAACTTCTTATATCTATATATATATCAGGGATGCTACGCCTGCGCCATTTGCGACAAACTGAGACAAAACGGCATAACTGCGCCATTCTGAGACAAAACGTCCAAAATTTGGCAAACCTGAATTCAGTTTCAAATATTAATCCGCATTGCCGTGAGTCATTGGAGATCATTTTGCCGTTCACGTCTCCAAGGGATGAAAGTCTTCCACGAAAAAGCGGAAATCCGCTTTTTTCTCCCAATTTTTAAAATTTTCGACCATGTTCCAAAAACTAAAATTTTTAGGGAGTCCAATTAGAGAAACCCAAGCCGCCGGAACGATAGTCGGATTCCCGCGACTTCCGCTATAGAGTGGAAAGGAGTCTAAGTGTTTCGTTTCGATAACCGATATATGATTTTTTTTTTCGTTTGGCTGATTTTCGGAATTTTAAATATTAGGAATTGCGCTGGAATATGCTAAAATCGCGATTTTTAATCAGACGATTTTAATATCAATCATCGATTTTCGTATTTAACTTATTTAAAACTTATGTGTTGCGACTTTTTTTANAGCCAAAGCAAAATATATTAATACAATAGTGTGAGCAGCACTCAAAAATGTTTTTTACAAAAATTACAACAAATAGAACATAATAAGTAAAAATAACATGTAAAAACAGAAAATAAAATAAAAAGAAAAAACAGCATGAAACATAGACCATAAAGCGAGTAGCGAAATCAGATGTACTTACATGGACGGGAAATTTTTCAAGAATGATTTAAAAATGTTTTCGCAACAAGATTGCCAGATTACAAAATATGAAAACAAAAGCGCAAATTGAGTGTAACTAGAGGGTTTTAAAGTGCCGTTCTTACTGCACTGCTGAAGTGATTTGTTATTCTGTGCACTGATTTGTTAGTTACCAAGGATGGGCCCGAAATGGATGTGCGCGAGGTAATATTATACTGGATAATTTAAAAAAGTTGACCATAAATAGTTTTAGAAAATAGATGTTTATTTAAGAAAAAATAGTAAAGAGAAACATAAATTGCCTGTTTTGCAAATAATTGTAGCCACGAAATTGCCCGAAATGGATTTGCACATGGAAAAATTATATAAATTATCAAAGAAAAAAAATTTAATTGATAATTTTAACACGGATTTTCCCGAAATGGATTTGCACAAGGAAAAATTAACAAAGAAAAAAAATTTTAGTAGATAATTTTAGCCACGGATTTGCCCGAAATGGATTTGCACGTGGAAAAATTGTATACATCAATAAAGAAATTTTTAGTAAATAATTTTACCAACAGTTTTGCCCAAAATGGATTTGCACATGGAAAAATTGTATAAATTAATAAAGAAATTTTTAGTAAATAATTTTAGCCACGGATTGGCCAGAAATGGATTTGCACATGGAAAAATAATATAGATTAACAAAAGAAATTATTTAGTAAAGGAATTTTTTAGTAAATAATTTTAACCACGGATTTGCACATGGAAAAATTATACAAATTAACAAAGAAATTATTTAGTAAATAATTTTGGCAATGGATTTACCCGAAATGGATTTGCGCATGGCAAAATTATGTAAATTAACAAAGAAAATGTTTAGTAAATATATCCACAAAAATATACGATTTATTCAATGATTTTATATAAAATTTTATTACTTTAGT